CATGACGTCTCATTATGAAGAATTCACCGAAACGCTAATCCACCACAATAAAATTGCAGATCAAAAAGCAACAAAATACTGACAAAATAACCTGGAAAAGACATCAACGACTGCTGCTTCCCAGTCGCCATTGTTAAGACATACCTCATGAAAAACCCTGAGAACTGTTTTTAGAGGAAAAACACGATAGCGATTCCTGGCAAACCTGTAGAATCAATGAAAAATAATTTTTAGTGATTCAAGGGTTTATTTCAGATAACAATTCTGACCAACGTACTCTCTGATAGGTAATCTTGAAAAGTTGTATTTTCCTCTATTGGAGGAAAGAAATAATTGCTCAATTCTTGGGTGAGAAGAACAGCAAATCACGTAAGTATCCTTATCCAATGGACCTTTCATAACATTCTTGGCATAACTAAAAATAAGACTTCACAGGTCTTTGAAAATTTACGAACTCATTTTAATAAACCGTATCTTAAAGCGTGTGAGCACTACAAATGAACACTCACGAGTTTATATAAACAACGTCACTTTTTTCTGGGTGAAGTGCTTCAATACTTCCCGGGAAAAAGGTTGTTGCGGATAGAAAATATTGAAGAAATGGATTGTTGAAACCCGCAAATCTAAACTGGTTATTATATCTACGAATCGGCACAAAAATAGAAGGAAAACTGGTACGTGGAACGATATATCCAAAAAAATCAAATAAACTGTACAAAAAACAATTTCCAGAAATTTAGGGTAAAGATGGAAGAAATCTTCTTCATAAATGTATATGCTTCGTCTACAAGTACTCAGTACTTCTCCGCAAGAAACTCTGTTAGCCTAGCAAGAAATAAAAGTTGCACAACAATAAACTGGAATTACTAACTCTAAAAAATTGGCATTATCGGAATCCGAGACATCCGTATTTGTCAAAGTAATCAAAAACGGTTCTGCGTATTCAAAGTTTGCCTAAAATAAACCCCAAAAACAGGCCATACAATTTAAAATGCAAAACTCCACGTAGCAATTAATAAGCATCCATGCCGAGACAAAAATAAAGTTTCAAATTGCAGAAAACAAAAAAGAAACGAAAAAATAACTCTGATTGCATTGTAGATTTTATCACCAGTTATTTCAGAAGTTTCAGATCTTAATCCACTTCCATACTGCAGATCAAAAACAATACGTGGCTTTCTGTTGAGCCTGACTGTCTTCAGTCCTTTACTACCTTTCCAAACATAATCCCCTAAAACCTACTTTAAAAAGCAGCAGAAAATATTAGACATTCTTACGAGAAAAACAACAAAATCAGCGAGCAAATTCTGGGAAAACAGAAGTCCCATACTTTTAAAATTCCTCACAGGGTTACTGTCGAAAGGCGCTTCTGCGTGACAAGCAGTTTGTTCCTTAAGAAAAATACATTGAACGAAAAAATTAATTTTAGACTGCCAATTTTTGTTGGTTAAAGAATTCCTCTACAGCACAGGTCCCCTGAGGAAATCCTATGCGTTTAGATATGGTACGACTCAGAAACTGGTTAATGTCGAGAAAGAATAGCGGAAGGGAAGCGAAAAGAGTTTACTGGAAGGTGTGTCCAATTACCATTTGATCTGATTTTGAACCTTTTGCCTCCATTTCAGTTAAGCAATGAAAGTAATGCATCCTGGTAGGAGCTTTAGGAAGCTGTAACAACTCAATCCACTGATCTGAAGTGATGCGAGAAGGTGAATCACTCATCAACCACATATAATGCTGTAAAGATTTTTTGAAACGTACAAAAATTTGAACTAAAATGTAATTTGCGTAACAGCAACAGTATTCAAATCCACAGCTAAGAGCCATTTAAAAAAAATCACCTCCAATTCTTTGAGCACTTTCGCTAAAAACTTCTTCTCCAAATATGACAGTTCAGAAATAAAACCGTTTGGTGGCCGAAGGCGTAAAAATTTTTGTCGATTTCTTGCCACCGCTTCAGCAGCTGACGTACTTTTGCTGCAAAAAAAGTCTCTAAGTTCTACCAATTCCTTTCAAAAAACTTACTTCATGAAGAAATTTTTTACGGCATACAGCAACTTCGATAATAAGAATTCTGTAAGCCTACACGAGCCGTTTTTCGAACACACTAAGTAAATAATCACTTAATGACTTTTAAAGCATACAAAAAAGGGCACCATAATATAATGATACCGGCGTAAAATGACATTACCAAGCTGTAAGAAGGCAATGGCAACATCGACTATTTTGTAGATATGCTTCACAAAATGTCCTATACCAATTCATCTCCGAAAGATACTAAACTGCTTCAAAAACCAATAAGTCGTCCCTCGTCTCATGTTATTTCTGTCTCATGTTCCGAAGCGATTACAATCTGTTATATTCAACCAATAAATAATTTACGGCAAATCTTTTCGTAATATATTAAGTCTATAGATTAAGTATAGCTAAAGCGTATTATTGCCTTAATTTTAAAGACAGACATAGGTTTTATTCGATTGAAAACTTCTGAAAAGTGATTAATAATAGTGCAGGAAACAGGCAGAACTTACAAGTCGGGAAAAAGTTTTCGTTATTTCGTGACCTGCATTTGGCGCCTGTTAGCTGAATTTAGCGTGCAGTTCAGGTGCGTCAACAAACACTGGAAGGTCAGCAGGAGCTCTGAAAAAACTTTTAGTTACAGAACAGCAACTAATTTATCGGTACCACTTGAAACAGTATGGTCAATTAAAGCACGATGTAATTAAATAGTGATCGTCTAGGCAGCAACCCTTTTCAAGTGAACATTTATCACTATATCGTGCGGACGACCAATCTCAACAAGTTTCACTGAACCAACGATATCAGCACAAGAAAACCCTAAATCGTACTCTCACCATGAAAAAAAACAGCAGTGGTCACAAAAAATGGATGAAAAATTGAAGCTATCCTTCTGAGTTCATCCTCCAACAATGATTCTATCTATGACATAGACTGTGTAAGAAACGATCCAAAAGATTGTTTGGTAGTGGTGGCTGTCCCCACTGAGCCACGTTATTAGTTTGCCAACAAAGCTGTGGAGTATATGGTTCTCGGTTCTAAACACCATTCTTAATGAGCCGTGCTGCTTCAACCATCTTTAAGTTGAAGTGGTCATCCACAAGCCTCTAACGCATCACAAACAGCTCATTCGCGGGGATATAAAAAAGATAATGATATTAGGGATAT